GAAGAGGAAGAGGAAGAGGAAGAGGAAGAGGAAGAGGAAGAGGAAGAGGAAGAGGAAGAGGAAAGGATACACGGCGGTGCTGGCCCAGTAGGCGATGCAGAGGCACAGCAGGAAGAAGGTGCACAAGGGGAACAGCAGCGATGACATGACGTGACCGATGGCCCTGCGAGAAGATGGTTAAACCCCAGTTAAACCCTGGTAAAACCCCGCTTAAACCCCAGTTAAATCCTGGTTAAACCCCAGTTAAACTCCAATTAAACCCCGCTTAAATCCCGGTTAAACCCTGGTAAAACCCTGGTTAAACCCCAGTTAAACTCCAATTAAACTCCAGTTAAACCCCAGTTAAACCCCGGTTAAACCCTGGTAAAACCCCGCTTAAGCCCCAGTAAAACCCTGATTAAACCCCAATTAAACCTCGGTTAAACCCCAATTATACCCCAGTTAAACCCCAATTAAACTCCAATTAAACCCCAGTTAAACCAAGTCAAACCCCAGTTAAACTCCAATTAAGCTCCAGTTAAACCCCGGTTAAACCCCAATTAAACTCCAATTAAGCTCCAGTTAAACCCAAGTGAAACCTTAGTTAAACCTCGGTTAAACCCCAATTATACCCCAGTTAAACCCCAATTAAACTCCAATTAAACCCCACTTAAACCCCAATTAAACCCCAATTAAACCCTGGAGCGACGCGCGGCCGCGGTCACATCCAGACCTGCTGGCCTCCTTGATGAGCGCGATGGCGATGAGGATCCTCTTGCGCAGGAAGATGAGCAGCAGGACGATCACCAGCTCCAGCACGCACAGGATGATCACTGGGAGAGGAAAATAAACCCCGGTGGGGTCAGGACCATCTTCACCTTCCCCAGTTTAACCCAGTTTAACCCCAGTTAAACTCCAACTAATCCCCAGTTAAACCAAATTAAACCCCAGTTAAACTCCAATTAAACTCCAATTAAGCTCCAGTTAAACCCAAGTTAAACCCTAGTTAAACCCCAGTTAAACCCCAATTATACCCAAGTTAAACCCCAGTTAAACCCCAGTTTAACCCCAGTTAAACCCCAGTTAAACCCCAGTTTAACCCCAACTAATCCCCAGTTAAACCAAATTAAACCCCAGTTAAACTCCAATTAAACTCCAATTAAGCTCCAGTTAAACCCAAGTTAAACCCTAGTTAAACCCCAGTTAAACCCCAATTATACCCCAGTTTAACCCCAATTTAACCCCAACTAATCTCCAGTTAAACCAAATTAAACCCCAATTAAACTCCAATTAAGCTCCAGTTAAACCCCAGTTAAACCCCAGTTAAACCCTAGTTAAACCCCAGTTAAACCCCAATTATACCCCAGTTTAACCCCAGTTTAACCCCAGTTAAACCCCAGTTTAACCCCAATTTAACCCCAACTAATCCCCAGTTAAACCAAATTAAACCCCAGTTAAACTCCAATTAAACTCCAATTAAGCTCCAGTTAAACCCAAGTTAAACCCTAGTTAAACCCCAGTTAAACCCCAATTTTACCCAAGTTAAACCCCAGTTTAACCCCAGTTAAACCCCAGTTAAACCCCAGTTTAACCCCAACTAATCCCCAGTTAAACCAAATTAAACCCCAATTAAACTCCAATTAAGCTCCAGTTAAACCCAAGTTAAACTCTAGTTAAACCCCAGTTAAACCCAAGTTAAACCCCAGTTTAACCCCAGTTTAACCCCAATTATACCCAAGTTAAACCCCAGTTTAACCCCAGTTTAACCCCAGTTAAACCCCAATTATACCCAAGTTAAACCCCAGTTTAACCCCAGTTTAACCCCAAATTCCCCCCAGGCACCCAACGCTCCTCCCAGGAACATCCAGCACCCACCAAAGCCCCAGTTTAACCCCAGTTTAACCCCAAATTCCCCCCAGGCACCCAACGCTCCTCCCAGGAACATCCAGCACCCACCAAAGCCCCTCCTTCAGGTGGAAACACCCCAAAAATCTCGCTGTCACCCCATTCCCATTCCCATCAAACCATCCACGGGTCCCATCCCGGTTCCGGAGGAGCACGTACGGAACGCCAGCCACGTCTGCCGCAGGTGGAGGTAGACACGGAGATCGGTCTGGAAGCCCAGATCCGTCAGGGACATGTCCGACCCCGCTTCCCCTTTTAATTTGGCGTATTCCATGTAACAGTGGAAGATTCCTGAAAAAAAAAATAAAATAAAAAAGCAGGAATTAAATTAAAAAAAAAAATAATAAAAATTTTATTTACAAAATCGGAGCAGGACGGGGAGGAAAAACCCGGAAGGACGCGGCGCGGGAATTCCCGCGGCGCAAATCCCGCCGGAAAACGGGGGGAAAAAAAACCGGGGGAAAAATTCAAGGAGAAAGAGAACCTCACCGTATCCCAACACCAGGATCACCATGACGATCATCACCCACACCATGATCCCGGCCAGGAATCGCAGCAGGACGATGAAGATCAAGCTGGCCACCATGGCGATGACCAGTCCTCTGCGGGAGGAAGGCGGCCGCGTTCTCACCGCGATCCCGCGCGGAAAAGAACCGCGGAATCCCCGGGGAATTTTTGCCCCCCTCACTGTGCTCACATGATGATCCAGTACCAGGACACGGTGTAATCCTCGAAGATCTTCATGGCCAGCTGACGGGTCTCCAGCACCACGTTGGCTTTTCTGCAAGGAAACCGAGGAACGCCGACGGAGAACCCCAAAACCGAGAAAAATTCCGCGTTTCTCCGCGGCAAATTCCCCTCGCCGCCCGCGCCGCGTCTCCTTCCCCACCCTCCGCTCCCAATCCCAACGTTTTGGTGGGAATGTCGGGATTTCGGTGGGGTTTGCGACGCCTCAAACCAAGCAGCGCTAACGAAGCGGCTCTTAACGAGGTGGAGTCAACCCAGGACTCACTTGGCGCCTTCCAGCAGCTCGGTGACGTTCCTGCGGCCCCCGTGGCCGTCGTCGTAGGTGGTCTCGTTGCCCACCATGATGACGCCTTTCTTGGCCTGGATGGCTGGGAAACATCTCCGTGCCACTGGTGAGACCGAGGAAGGGAAAAACGGGAGCTCAGCTGGGAAAACTGGGGGTCCCAAACCCCCAAAAACCTCCCAGAAACGCCCAAACCACCTCTGAAAAAATCCCAATGGTCCCAAATCCCCCAAAAACCCCCCAAAACCCCCCAAAAAACCTCTGAAAAAAATCCCAATGGTCCCAAATCCCCCACAGGACCCCCAAAACCCCCCAAACCCCCTCTGAAAAAAATCCAAATGGTCCTAAACCCTCCAAACCCCCTCTGAAAA